TAAAAATGTTTAGGGGTGTGCAAAAAAATGTCAAGCTTCGCACCAAATTTTTCCATCTTGCCCCCCTCTAACAAAATGTCTAGTTGCGCGCCCGACCTTCACCTAATCAATAATATGGAAGTTATCGTCGTTTTTCATCGCTAGAAAAGTATTTAATTCTGAAAATGTCTATCTTTGGTTCTGAAATGCACAAGTGACTATAAATAGAAACCACAATCGAAAATAATCAATTTTCTAGGAAAAGATGGTGGATATCTTAATTACATAAATTCTTGGCCAGCATCAAATTCAACTATTAATCAAATTTAATTCAACAATGGAGAAAAAATATACATTCCTTGAAAATCAGTTAAAGTTTTAATGATAATACCAGACTCAAACTGTTTTTAAGCAATTCAAGTCTGAATTTAAGAATATAGGTTGTGGAAAAATTTCTGTTGATTTTATTTATTTTAAAACAATGCCCTCTGCCCAGCGCTACTAATTCATAATTAGAATATTCAAAATAATTTGGAACTAATTTCTGGCAGGAAACAGATTAAATTTTGGTCTTATAATATCCTTGGGCCGGGAGAACAATTAATTGTAAATTTAGGATTTCAAATTTGCCACAGACAAGATCTGTTTTTTGGTGTTCTCTTGTAAAAAGTTATTAATCTATGCGTTTAGATTAACAAAAAAAATAGCTTGGGAACCCAGCCTTGTCTGGAAAATAATTTCCTTAATAAACTCAACCTACTCAACTTGGAGTTGTTAGACCAGGTAAACAACATGCCGTGGTTCTTTCGTGTTTTCCAATGAAAGGTTTGACAAATCTTATTATCGGATATCCAAACAAAAAGACAAAATAGATTACAACTTTATATAAATAGATTACAACTATATATAAATAGATTACAACTTTATATAAATAGATTACAACTTTATATAAATAGATTACAACTTTATATAAATAGATTACAACTTTATATAAATAGATTACAACTATATATAAATAGATTACAACTTTATATAAATAGATTACAAATTTATATAAACAGATTACAACTTTGTATAAATAGATTACAACTTTATATAAATAGATTACAACTTTATATAAATAGATTACAACTATATATAAATAGATTACAACTTTATATAAATAGATTACAACTTTATATAAATGGGTTACAACTTTAACTGAATAGATTACAACTATATATAAATAGATTACAACTTTATATTATTTTTACAGAATAGCAACGATATAAATTATATAATAAGATACAATACATCAGGAGATGAGAAGCAACGATATAAATGATATAATACGATACAATATTATCAGAAGATGAGAAGCAACGATATAATTATATAATACGATACAATATTATCAGATGATGAGAAGCAACAAATATAAATTATGTAATACGATACATTACATCAGGAGATGAGAAGCAACGATATAATTATATAATACGATACAATTACATCAGGAGATGAGAAGCAACGATATAAATTATATAATACGATACCATATTATCAGGAGATGAGAAGCAACGATATAAATTATATAATACGATACAATTACATCAGGAGATGAGAAGCAACGAAATAAATTATATAACACGATACAATTACATCAGGAGAGGAGAAGCAACGATATAAATTATATAATACGATATTATCAGGAGATGAGAAGCTTGACAGCCTGACAAATGATCTCACGAATAATAACGCTCCAGAAAAGCAAGTTAGTTCAAAGAAAGATAAAGATGAATCTGAACCTCAACATGAAGAAAGATCAAAATCTGTTCCGTTCTTCCAGCTCTTTAAGTTCTCTACAACAAGGTAGAATTTGTTAAACAAAATAAATGTCTTTAATTCGGAGTTAATAAATTTTTTTGAAAAATAGATCTTTTCCCTTGTAACCCCCTTTTTAAAAATTATCTTTGCATTTTTTGCGCTGACAGGGTTTCCATTTTTTGGGGACCAATTTGGTGTCCTCAAAGACCTTACGGAACCGAAGCGGTTAAAAATGATTAACTATTTAAAACTTTTGGAAGTTAACACGGCGAAACCTTTCTTAACCGAATTTGAGATAAATTTCCAAAAGTTTTTAATGATTTATTATTCTTGACAGATGCAGAATAGGTTCCCAAAGGCCTTTACAGAACCAAATAGATCCGAAAAGAATTGAAAAACCTGGCTAAAAGACTATTTTTTTTTGAATTTTCACAATCTGTGGGTAAAAAGTGTCAAAAAGAGGGAAAACTTGTAACTATGATGTCCAAATCTTTATTTTTTATCTTCAAAAAAGTCACGGGGCCGGGGGGGGGGGGTGTAATTCTTTAAAATAAATGTTTTCTCACAAATTACAAAAAAATCGATATGACATGTTTTTGTTCAGGGAGAAGGTATTAATAATGATAGGGGTGCTGGCTGCTGTGGCGGGCGGCTGCTCAATGCCCGTCATGATCATTTTGTTCGGTCAACTAGCTAATGCATTTGTTTCAGAGGTAGGTTTTATACCAACTATCTTGAGGAACCTTAGGTGTAAAAAGCACAATGGTTCTTTTCATCTGATCAATAATGTATAAGATATTTTCGGTTTTCTAGGCTCAACTATTTCTAGAATTGTTCCTTCATGATTGAAAACTATTTTATAGAAAACCGTAATTTAAAAAAATCTATTTTGGAATCTATCGCTCTAATAAAAAGTAGGTTCATTTCAAATTACTACGTAAAGTTATTTTTATTGTTTTAAATTATTGCCAAGGATTATGTAATTATTAAATGATGTTACTCAACATCAAAACTTTTGTTTGAAATATAATCTGTATTCTGCATAGGGTTTCCACGAAACGGTAGACGCTCTTGCGCAACAGTTTCGCGTTTTGGACGAAATGACTATTTTTGCACGAAATTTCGCATCAATTTTGCATCAATACAAAACCAAGTTTACTCGGAATTGCATGATTTTGCGAATGAATATGAAGAGAAGTAACATTTGTTTCATAACATTGGTCAAATATAAAAGATTTAAATATTTGGACATTATGATGTCAATTATTAAAGAACAATAATTTCATTATTATTATTTTTTATAGTTTAACACGGTAAAATGAATACATTTCTCTTGTTTGAAATGTCTCTTTGTTATAGTTACCTATCTCCGTCGGCTGTACCAAATTTCACCCTATCCCTGCTGGGGTACTTGAAAACCAGGATATGCTGAGGGGGTGGGTCAATTTGACCCCCCCCCCCTCTAAATCCCATGTTTTATGTCCAAATATGACAAATGATACATCATTAGAAAGCTCTTGTGCTCTACTTTTAGAATCTGCAAAAAAAATTTGCAAATTTGCAAAAATTGAATTTTTTATCGCAAAATCCAGTTGTATAGTAAAATGTTTGCAAACAAAAATTTGTCCAAAAAATGAAAAATTATACATTTTTGAAAAGCCCTTGACCATGCTATTTCAAACATGCAAAAATTTTTGCAAAATTTTAAATAACGTGATTTTTAATAAAGAAAAACTAAAATGTTCAAATTTTCTTTGACAGGTTGTTTGCAAAAATTTGAGATTTTTTTCGCAAAACTTGTGCAATCCGTTTCCTTATGTCATAGGCTTTCCAAAAAGCTAAATTTTATCAAAATCTGACAAGTGAAAGTGGGTCAAAACAAAGATTTAGTTTGTTACAGGCAAAAGCAGTCATTCAGGCAGTGTGCCTGAGGACTCAGGCAGTTAGTAATAAAGCCCGGTTTTAGGCCTAAAGGGAGGGCTTTGGGTATGTAAGAAAAGTCAGAAAATTTCAACAGCCTCAGACCAATACTTTTTGAGTAATGTAAAAAAAACTACATGGGGGTCAAATTAACCCCCCCCCCCCCCTGCAGGAATAGGGTTAATGGTGACTTACTTGAAACCATAGAAGTTAGGCCACCGCCAAAGGTCTGGGTGAGAGCAGCCCGGAGTATATTTGGGATTGCTTTTGGGATCATCTATTTCCCGGAATTGTTTCTCGAAATTTAAAGAAATAGCTCGAAATAACGAAATAGCAGGAATAACGAAATGCGCAAAAACCAAGATTCTCTTCATAATTTGCGTGAAATCAATGCGAAATTATATTGAAATTTCGTGCAATTTTTACTCGAGACGTAAGAAAATCTTTCGCAATTTTTGCACGATTTGTGTGCAAAAATTTTCGATTGGAAACCCTAATTTTGCATCGCGTTATTTCTATAGCCTTTGTGACAACTTTTGAATTTAAGAGAAGTTGCGAAGACAACAGACACAATGTTTGATCACGAGATTAACAATTCAAATTCATAAATATAGAAAAACTCAGCACTTGCCTCAAACTATATATTTACCCATCCCATATATATTTGCAACCTGAAGGTGTACTTCAAGCAGAATTGATAGTTTCAAAATAACAGAGGTCTACGATCAGGTTGCGATTATATAATTTGATTTTAACATTAGAGTTTGTGTTCATTTCTTTTACAATTCTTTTTTTTTAATTCAAGGACTGTATACTTTCTATTTGCATTAAAACAAATCAATGATTATGGAAACTCAAGAATGAAGAAAGCTCTGAATTTAGCTGCTTTGTCTATTATTTTATTATTACTACGCAGCATGACAATCAGATTTTTCTCTTCTATTTCTTATATTTTCTTTATCACACGATCTGGTTTTCAACGAGGCAGGATACAAAAAGCTTTATTTTTACGCATCATCTCACATAATCGTTTAATAACATTTAGTTTTAGAAAAAAATTATTTTCAGGCCCAGACAGAGGGATGCACAAATGCAGAGGGGGTATTCAGTATTTCATTACCAAATTGTACATTTGATCCAGAGGCAAGATTGAATATTGAATATAAATTAATAAATATTTTTTGTCATTAACAATTAAAGAGATTTAAGAAAATGTATTATGGAATAGATGAACAATTTTGAAATTTGTAAAATCCTAAAAATACCAAAAAAGGGCTGGTAAATATCTAAATATGGCTATTTCTGGGTAAAATTGCAAAGTCCAAATTGTAAATACCTCACTTTATTCTTCATCAAGTTTGGATTGAAAATATGAATCTTGAAACCAGGCACTGGATCTTGGAAAAGATTTATTCTACGCTGAGATTAGTAAGTTCGGAGGAGGAGCATCTATTATAGGAAAGCATAGGCTCAGTTGATTTTGTAGACCACTAGTTTCAGTAGAAGTAAATATTTCCATTTAGTGTAGTTACTTCTACTGAAACTATAGTGATATAAGGATTTATCTCTAATTGTATGATGAGATAGATGGAAAAGTAGATGTTAACGCCATGCAATTTCTATTGGTTTAGAATAGTCAACAAACACATGACTGAACCATGATTGGATCAGGCGCTAATGAACTCAGCATAGACGCAGTTTCAAGTAAACCGCCATTTATAAAGAGCATGTCTGATTCACACCTGTAACTTTAAACTTTATACCTTTGTCCATAGCATAGCTATCCTTATTTTCTAGCAGAAAATTGAGTTCTGGAAGACTCCACACTCCTGTATGCCGTATTAGCGCCTAATCCAATCAGTGTTCAGTCGTGTATTTTTTGTCTATTCTGAACCAATAGAAACAGTATGGCGGTAACATCTATCTTTCTATCTATCTCATTATCGAAATAAGAGTTATGAATCCTTCAATAGGCGATATCTGAAAAGGGAAATATTTACTTCAACTGAAACTATAGTGTCCAGGTTACCGTCTACATTTCATAAAAATAAGAACAAGGTTTTAAGGGTGCTGTTGAAAATGGGACGTGTCATTCTATAATTTGAGATTCACGTCTACATTTCCTTTCAGAAAAAAACCTTTATGTTTTCCATCTAGAAGAATGACTAGGTTTGGTTTTAGAAATCAAGACTCACAGTAGTTCCAATTAAAATATTTAAGTTTGATTAAAAGGACTTTTCTGAACAGTATATATGCATGAGTCATTAATTGAACAAGGGCAACCTGTGTTCAATCAGTTAATCTACGATTGTCTTTAGAATATAAATAATATATATATATATATCTATTTCATTATTTAGAATATAAATAATATATATATATATCTATTTAAGTATTTAGAATATAAATAATATATATATATATATCTATTTCATTATTTAGAATATAAATAATATATATATATATCTATTTAAGTATTTAGAATATAAATAATATATATATATATATCTATTTCATTATTTAGAATATAAATAATATATATATATATCTATTTAAGTATTTAGAATATAAATAATATATATATATATATCTATTTCATTATTTAGAATATAAATAATATATATATATATCTATTTAAGTATTTAGAATATAAATAATATATATATATATATCTATTTCATTATTTAGAATATAAATAATATATATATATATCTATTTAAGTATTTAGAATATAAATAATATATATATATATATCTATTT